CGCCGCCGCCGCCAGCCGCAGACAAAGTAGATCAAGGAGAGTGGGCCGGCGGTGGCGCGCGGCTCCGTGTGACTGTCTGTCGGCGGCCGGCGTGCGTCTCGGCCTGGGCCGGCCGTCCTCCGGCGGCTTCCGGCTGTGACGGCCCAGTTAGCGGGCCGGCCGGCGCCGCTGACCCCGCTCTCACCCCTCGACAGGCGGCCGGCGCGCCGGGTCATCCCCACCGACCAGCCGACTGATTGGAGAGCGCCCGGCGATGTTGACCACCGCAGAGCCGCGCCGTGCCCCACTTGAGGCCGTGCCGCGTGCGTGACTCGCGAATCGGGACTAGCGGATGAGGGACCGGCTGCCGGCCATCGGTGGACTGCCGGCCGGACCGGGACGACCCAATTGCTCCGGGGTCGGTCGGACGCCGCCCGTGCGACCTCCGACCCTCGGCCGGTGCCGCAGCCCGTGATGTAACCCCCGCCCTCCCAATGCACCGTCACCGCGCCGGACCGACCACAGATGAGACCGCTTCCCACCCCCTCTGCCGCCGTTCATCTCTCTGAACCTGGCCTACCGACAGCAGACGGCGCCGGTTGGGTGACCTCCGGCCGGCGCCGAGCCGCCTCACCCTGACCTGACCCGGCGCGCGTGTGCGTGGGCCGGGACCTCGCCGCCGGCCGGCCGGCCCCGTGCGTACGGCGCCGTGTCGGCCACAGGGACGACCGGGTCGCCGGGACGCGGCCGGGGTCGCCACCGCTGCCGCCGCGCCGCGGCCTCCATGCCGTATTGGGAACAAGGGCGACGCAGAGAAAGTGGCCGCAAGAGGGGACGGCGCCGAGGTTTGAATGTCCCTGGAGACGGGGATGGAGGACAGCCGTTGGGAGCGCTCTGTGGTCGGCTACCGGATGGAGGACGGACGTCCTTTGGCCAGCCGTTGGACGGGTGATGAGTAGGGTGGCTCCGTGCGGCCCCGGCTCGGGTATGTGTCGCGGTGTGATGCGGGGGCGGCGGGCCGCGTGGGGCCGTCCCCCGCGCCGCTCGCCGCCGGGGAGGCCGTGTCGGTACCGGCGCGGCCTGCTGCGCTGTTGCCGGGCCGTCGGCTCGGCCCTGTCTCCGTCGACAGCTCCCGTAATAGCCGAGCCGGATCCCGGCGGGCCGGAGCGCAGCCATCACAACTGGGTTAATCTGGTCGGAGCCGGCGGCGCCGCTCGTCCGCGACCGTCGATTGACGGCCGGGTCAATGTTAACGGGCGGCGCCGGGTCGGCGGGTGGGCGCCTGTCACTGACGCCGCCGCCGCCGGTACCGTCCAGTGAAACGGAGCACGCCGACCAGCCCGCGCCGCCAAAGAGAAAGAGAGAAACGCGCCGGGGACGTGCCACTTCGGCGGCACCGAGAGGGACTTTCACGCGGTGAAAAACACTGTTGCATATAGAAAGTGAAGAGAGAGGGCCGTATTACGCACCGTCGTGTCACCTGGTGACCCGGACTGGGCCAATAATGGCCGCCTTTCGACAGGGGGCGGCGAGCAGCGCCCGGCGCCTTTGTTCGCATGCTAATGACGCGGGGCGATGCAGGTTGTCTGTGTTGACGCAGTGGACGCGCCGTGCGTAGTCGGACCCGCCAGTGTCGGCCCGCTCCTGTGGCAGGATACCGTACAGCGGCAGCGGCCGGCTTCTGTTATTGTTCTCGGCCGCGATCCGTCTGATGGTATAGCTGCTGCTGGTGCGCTGCTGTTGGCGGTGGCCTTGTCAGCGGGGCGCGACACATGTATATCGGGCCGCGGCCGGAGAGGAGCCGGCGCGTGCGGTGAGCGGCGCCGCGCCGCCCTTGTGCCCGTTGCCGGCCGGGTCACGGACGCCGGCCGGGGGCGCTGGGCGGCGGGCGCAGCCGTCACTCGACCCGCCGCTGACAACTGGTACGCCGCGTGCGTGTCCGAGGCAGCGCGCGGCTTTCCCGGCCGGCTGACCCGTGGCCCGCTGCAGCGATCGAGGAGCCAGTTTCACCGCCGCCCGGTGAAACGGCGGCTTTCACGGAGTGTCGCGCCGATACCGCCGCGCGCTGCGTCTCCCCACGTGGCGGGCCGTCTCTCCCGGCGAGGTGCGACGCTCCCCGAGCGACGGTGGCCTGACCCGGGCGGCCGCTCCCCTGCCGTCGTGCCGGCAGTGCAACGCCCTCGGCCGTTGGCCCGCGCCGTCTGGGACCGGGAAGAAGTGGAGGGCGAGGGACGCACGAGACGGCTCCGGCCGAGAAGCGCTCGGCAGCGCGCACCAGCAAGGGTTGCATAATTGTGGCGGGGGTGCGCGCTGCAGGGAAGGCCGTCGAGCCGCTGACAGGGGCGAGGTGCGTCCGACTCGACTGGAGAGGGAGAGGGGCCGGTAAAAATGATAGGGGAACCGAGCGAGGGTCGGTGGCCCGCCAGCAGGGGACGCCGGCCTGCGCCCCAGCTCGGCAGACGCACCCCACGGACAAAGCAACGGCGGCGGCGGGGCGGAGGTAATTAGACGGGAGGGTGACGGTTCGAGGGGCGAGGGTAGCTCCCTAGAGGGTAGCTCACGGCACCGGCATCCCGTCAGCGCGATATCCGACCGGCCGGACTGGCGGCACCGTGACGCCCCAGTTCGCGTGGCCTCCCGATGACAGGTGTCTCTGCTCGGCACGGCCGGCGCGTGGTCGACCCCACCCCACCACCCCCGCCTCGCCACCCCCACACCGACTGGCAGACAGGGCGCCGATTGCTCGGGTCGTTCACCCCGCGCTCGCTGCCGTATTTTTGGCCGACGGCTGCAGCAGCCCGGCCGGGGCTGAAGCACTGCCGCTCTCTCTCCGCTCCTGCCCCGGCTGAATTATCTGTATATGTGCGGGGCATTCCACGTCAAATCGAACAAAAATCGGCTGTTTTGCACCTTACCATCAGCGATTTCATTATAAATTTGTGAGCGAGTTCCTGTGTGGCCCCGGACATTACATTGATGTTTTTTGCACATTCTGACCACAGGTCTTCTAAATATAGGGCATCAAATTTTTACAACATGTTGCATCTGTATACTTTTGAACGGCCATAACTTTGGTTGTACTTGTTTGATTTGAATGAAATAAACCTTACTGTTTAGGTAATTTCTTAAGCATTTGTTTAGAATTGCACCTACTTAAATATATGACCTTGAAATTTGCTTAACTCTGTTCTTAAGCACAAATATTGAAATAGCAAAAAACACGTCACCTTCGATTTGGCTCATTTTCATATATTTTATTGCCTACCATATTCTTAACAACCTGTGAAAAAATTAGAGTGGGCCATTCATAAGTTTTGAAGAAAATTGCACATATGCAAACGTATGTTAGCACGCGCAGTGGAGGGGGAAGAGCGAATTTCGCCCACTTCTCCTGTTTTTCGCCAATATCTCATAAGATTAATGCGAAATTAATTGTGGCTACCTGTCAAGAATTGAATTGGACATCTCATCGTGCAAGCAATAAGAAAATCGGTTCACAACTGTTCTAGTAATAGCGGTGTAAAGTGAACATCCTGTCGCCGCAGCGACGCGGCGATTCGGCAGCCGGCGCCGACCGCTACGCGCCGCCTGAATTGTAGACTGTGCCGGGACGGAACGGAACGGTTCCATCTTTACATCGCGCTCTCTACCGCTGATTACGTTCGATTCGCGTCAAATTTTGTGAGAAGACTAAGAAATGTACAGGCAATCTTATGGTGAAAGAATTTTGAAAATCAGTTGATAAACAATTGAAATATGAACGTGTAAACACAAAATTGTGATTGCTGCGTTTCCCGCATCGGCCGAGCCCGCCTCAGTCGGCGACATGTTACTCTTAGCAGGCCTCTAACTGCCATATTTATTATTGGATTAACTAGAAATTCCCCATACATACTAGAAAATGTATGTTCTTTCGTATAGTGAAGATCAAAAGACGTGAAGATATCGTTGCGTGATAATGTTTTCGTTGAATTTACTTCATGATGCATTTCCACACGGCTCAAAATTCACCGCAAAATACCGTTTGCCTGAGACACTTTTACTATAGAACGTGAATGCTTGACTACGATGAATATGCAATCCCATTCTCGCAGAGTTTGGGATATCACTAATCAGCTATCATTCATTTCAGAAAGTGTACACAAGCAAGCATGTCTTGACTCTGTCTTTCAAGGTCACGCGCGGTTGCGTGATGTTGATGCATGAAAACGGCGTTTGCCGCGAAAGTTATGAATGGCCCACTCCAATTTTTTCACAGATGGTTAGGAACATTGTGACGGACATAATATGTAAAAATTACCCAAATCGAAGGTGACGTGTTTTTTGCTATTTAAATTTTTCTGTTTTAATTCAAGGTCAAATGCATTTCAAGGTCACTTCAATTTAATTTTATAATTAAAAATCAAAGCCTTATCAATTGCCTATAAGACCCTGTTAATATTATTTTGATACCAGAAAAGGAACCAGAGTTATAGCCATTTAAAAAATTGATGTGTGGCATTTTTCGCTATATTTGATGACCTATATCTCAGCGATACGTTATCAAATTTCGAAAATATTATACGTAACTCAGTTTTGAACCATGCCCAGTCTGCCTACAAATTTTCAGAAAAATCGAAGGGGATGACGGATTTCGGTGTTTGAGTTGACGTGGAATGCCCCGTGCGGCCAACCGGCTGGGGAGTACGGCACGCGCCTGCAGCCGGGCGGCGCCGGCTGTGCGTGGCACCTGGGCCGGCCGGCTACCGGTGAAACACGTGTGACTGCTCCCTGCAGGCCGGCTCGCTATGTAATCACGCTGTACGCCCTACCTGCCACGTGTCTATCTATTCGTTTGCGTGTCTGCATTTGCGTGTGTCTTGCCTCTGTGTGTGGCGTGCTGAGGTCGGTGTCCCAGACTATGTGCCACTCTCCGGTGTCACTTTTACCGGCCGATCTGGGACCGCCCGCGGCTGTGTTGCCTCACGCCCGCCGGCGCCGCCGCGACCCGCCGCTCACACAGGCCCACTCTCTGTCCTCAGGTGAAAGTGGTCAAATTCAGCTACATGTGGACCATCAACAACTTCAGCTTCTGCAGAGAGGAGATGGGCGAGGTGCTCAAATCGTCCACCTTCTCGGCCGGCGCCAACGACAAACTCAAATGGTGAGAACTGAGAAGGGTGCAACTCCGCGGGGCCTGGCGGGTACGGCGCCGGTGAATGCTCGCCGCCGCCGCGTGCGAGCGCCGCTCTCCGTGTGGTAATCTCCCGACACTTTCGCTCCGATCTGGAGCGGTCCTTTCGGTCCCGTCGCCGGTGGTGCAACAAACGATGGCCGTGATGCCCTCCGCACGAGAGCGTGAGGTCGTGGCCGGGTGTATGGGGTTGGGTCGGTCCCGGGATGGAGAGAGGCGGCTGCAGTGCGGCAACTGATCAGATGCAGGGTTCACGGGTCATAGGTCACAGATCTGTAGCCTGATGCAGTGGGGGCGTTCCACGACAAATCGACAAATAAAAAATTAAATTTGCACCCTCATATTTTATTCTTCGTTGAAAACTGGTGTAAGGGGTTGTGATGGGCGGGGAAGCCAGCTGCGGCAAGGATTTTTTTCTTCGAACAACGGTTTCCGAGATATAGCCTCGGGCAATTCCGGGAGTTCGCGCTGCAGCCCTATGTTTGGCGGCCTATAACTCAGAAACTATTGTTTTTTTACGATAAAAACTTTATATGGTTCAACACACAATCAACCAACAAACATTTTGGCTATCTCGGATTTTCAATTTTTGAAAATTTTGATCACGTGACCTTTTGTCCTATTTTTCGAAGAGTGACCTTGATATTTTCCCCACTGAAAGTTGCAATTTTGTCTGATGACGATTAAAGCCTTATCAATTGTCATTCATATGCGATAATAAAAAAAGTGGTTATCGCCCTGCGTTGACCTCAGGTCAGGTCATTTTTATGACCTGTCCATTATTACGAGCGGGAGCGACAGCGAGATCTCGAGAATAAAGCAAGATAGCGACAAGCGGTAAACGGTAAAGGGTACACACGGATAAGGTCTATAATTTTTACTGAGGTCATTTTCAGGTCAGGTCAAAGATGACGTCACAGGAGCTAAAAGGAAGTCAAAATAGCGGCACTATACATATATATGAAGTTTTTCTCGAATAACTTTCAAGGTATCCCAACTAGGAACAAACTAATAGCACCATCGTGATCCTCTCGTCGATCCGCATCGAAACATATGTATTTTGACCTCGAAAGGTCGAAAGGTCAAAAGTTGACCTTAGGTCACGTGATCTAAGGTCAACTTTTGACCTTTCGACCTTTCGAGGTCAACATACATATGTTTCGATGCGGATCGACGAGAGGATCACGATGGTGCTATTAGTTTGTTCCTAGGTGGGATACCTTGAAAGTTATTCGAGAAAAACTTCATATACATGTATAGTGCCACTATTTTGACTTCCTTTTAGCTCCTGCGACGTCATCTTTGACCTGACCTGAAAATGACCTCAGTAAAAATTATAGACCTTATCCGTGTGTACACTTTACCGTTTACCGCTTGTCGCTATCTTGCTTTATTCTCGAGATTTCGCTGTCGCTCCCGCTCGTAATAATGGACAGGTCATAAAAATGACCTGACCTGAGGTCAACACAGGGCGATAACCACTTTTTTTATTATCGCATATGAATGACAATTGATAAGGCTTTAATCGTCATCAGACAAAATTGCAACTTTCAGTGGGGAAAATATCAAGGTCACTCTTCGAAAAATAGGACAAAAGGTCACGTGATCAAAATTTTCAAAAATTGAAAATCCGAGATAGCCAAAATGTTAGTTGGTTGATTGTGAGTTGAACCATATAAAGTTTTTATCGTAAAAAACTAATAGTTTCTTAGTTATAGGCCGCCAAACATAGGGCTGCAGCGCAAACTCCAGGAATTGCCCGAGGCTATATCTCGGAAACCGTTGTTCGAAGAAAAAAATCCTTGCCACAGCTGGCTTCCCCGCCCATCACAACCCATTAGACCAATTTTAGGCAAAAAATAAAATATGAGGGTGCAGGGCACTTGTCGATTTGTCGTGGAACGCCCCAGTGGTGGTGTGTAATCCCCCCTGTTGGATACCCTTTTCTGGCGGTATCCCTCCACTTCCCACTCTTCGTATCCCGGCTGCACTGCGTCTGACCTACCCGGCGCCCGGCGCCGTCTCCCGGAGCTGCGGCGGTCGGCGGCGACAGTCGGGATCGATCGTCCGCCGCGCCGCCGGCCGGTGTGCCGTGCCGTGTTACCGGCGTCCCGGAGCGCGCCGGCCGGTGGCGATCGAAGCTCCCGGCCGGCCGGTGAGCTGTGTGCCGCCGCTGCAGCTGCGGCAGCTCGGCAGCGTGGGCGGCGGCCACCGGCCGCGCTGATCAATGCCCAGCGGCCGGCGGCGAAGGTCAGTCGGCGGCCGACAGAGGACAGCCGCCGGCCGCCGGTCGCCGGTCGGCTGACCTCCCTGACCTGGGCGCGGCGGCCAGTGCCCCTGTCGCGGCCGGCCGCCAGCCGCGCCGGCCCGGCCTCCCCACGGGCCGTTAGTGGGATTTATTTGTTTGGATGCGTCGGAGCTGTCTGCGGTGCCACGCAGCCGTCTCGCCAGCGGCGGCCATGCATCACGCATTGATGGCACCGTGTGCAGGGGCGGCGGGGAGCGGCCGGCGCTGTTCCGGGTGGTATTTTTGGCCGTGTGTCCTCGCGAACGGATCGGCGCGCGGTGGCGGACCAAGCCGGCCTTGTGGCGCGCCGCCGCTGGCGCCGGTTGGGAAGCACCCAAGGATACACCGGTCCGCCGCCGGCCGGAGGACACCGCCCGCCGCCGCCCCCGCCCGGTGGTCCGTCCTTTGTGTCCGCCGCCGCCGCCGCCGCCGCCGGCCGGTGTCGGGCGGCACGCCGATGATGATGGGTTCGCGCTACTCGTTGCGAATGGTTTCGATGGCCAGCCTGTCCAAGAACCGCCGCTGGGAACGGGTGGTGGCAGCGGGCGCCGCGGCGCAGCCAGTTCTTTGTGCTGGGCCCACGTGGGACTCAGGTGGCGCGGGTGGGCTCCTCGACACCGGGAGCTGTGAGGGCTGACGAACTCTTTCCTTTGTTCACAGGTGTTTGAGAGTCAATCCCAAGGGTCTAGATGAAGAGAGCAAAGACTACCTATCATTATATCTTCTTCTAGTAGCATGCAACAAACAAGAAGTTAGGGCGAAATTCAAGTTTTCTATACTCAACGCGAAACGAGAAGAAACGAAGGCTATGGGTGAGTACTTTTATCCGAAATGCTTGTGTATTTCTGTCGTTTGCTTTAACTGTCATGAACTTTGATCGTCACCTTGACAGACCGTAAGTAATTAGGTGTAATTGAGCTGGATTGGTGCGTCATAAGCCACATTATCGCCGAGCGCTCGCCAAGGTCGGCTGTGGACCGATCCGGCCACCGCTCCGTCTGCCGGCTGGGCCGGGCCGCTGACATGATCCGGTTACCGTCCGCCCGGCGTCTGACACGATCCGCTCCGATCCCTTCCAGAGAGCCAGCGGGCCTACCGGTTCGTGCAGGGCAAGGACTGGGGCTTCAAAAAGTTCATCCGACGAGACTTCCTGCTGGACGAGGCCAACGGCCTGCTGCCTGAGGACAAGCTGACGCTCTTCTGCGAGGTGGGTGCCGCCGCTCCCCGCCGCGAACGGTGCCACGTGCCGCCGGCCGCGTATTTACGCCGGCTACATTTAAAGAGCCTGCACGCCAGCACACCGGTCGCTATCGCGTGACGATGACCTCATGAATGGCTAATGCCAGCCGACCTTGAAAATATCCGGCTTCCCTGAGCCCCTCGCTGCGCCACCTGCTGACTTGTCCACTAACTACAGTTTTCCGTTCCGTCCGCAGGTAAGTGTGGTGGCGGACAGCGTCAACATCTACGGCCAGTCGAACCAGGTGCAGTTCAAGGTGCCCGACTGTCGGCTCTCGGACGACCTGGGTCAGCTGTTCGAGAGCCAGCGGTTCAGCGACGTCACCCTCTCGGTGGGCGGCCGAGAGTTCCAGGCGCACAAAGCCATCCTGGCGGCTCGCTCGCCCGTGTTCGCCGCCATGTTCGAGCACGAGATGGAGGAGCGAAAACACAACCGTGTCGACATCACTGACGTCGACCATGAGGTGCTGCGCGAGATGCTGCGCTTCATCTACACGGGCAAGACGAATAACCTGGAGAAGATGGCCGATGACCTGCTCTCGGCCGCCGATAAGGTAGGTGTTTGTGGCGGAGCAGGATAGGAGAGGGGTGGAAGTGTGCTTAGGCTGAGAGTGCCGAGTCATTTCTGTTATGGGGAACTACTTATTCATATTTCTTGACTGTTATCCCGGTATCCCGGCACAGGGATTGATTATGAGCAGAGTGCCCATTAGACACAAGTAAAGGTACCGTTTTACTGTTACGAATGCCCTGGTCTCTCCGCCCCGTTGCTGGCTCTAACGTTTGTTGCCGAGCGGCAGATGTGATCACCCGTCGCCACACGTGTCTAACCCGCCTCTGTCTGCCTACAGTACGCCATGGAGCGACTCAAGGTGATGTGCGAGGAGGCGCTCTGCAACAACCTGAGCATCGAGAACGCGGCCGAGGCGCTGATCCTGGCCGACCTACACTCGGCCGAGCAGCTCAAGGCGCAGGCCATCGACTACATCAACATCCACGCCACGGATGTGATGGAGACGCCGGCCTGGAAGTCGATGATCACCTCGCACCCGCACCTGATTGCCGAGGCGTTCCGCGCGCTGGCCACCCAGCAGGTGCCGCCTATCAACACCACGCGCAAACGCATCAAGACCTCTCAATGATGCGCGGCCCGCGGCGCGGCGGCCGCCGTGGCCGTCGTGCCCGCCGCTGCCGCCTCATCCCACCAATCATAGTGTTCAAACGGCGCGCGCCCCGCGGCTCGCGGCGAACTGATGTTTGTGTTGCCATAGTGATATGTTGTTGACGCTCGTGCGCTGCGCTGCGCGCGCGCGGGCGCCGGCGCCCTGTGCGCGCCCTCAGTCAAGAGTATATGGTCTCCTTCTTGTTGGACTTGCGTCTCGGGTGGTTAAGTAGCTGTAGTGTGTGGGCGGGCTGAGCCGCGTGTGGTGTGCGCGGTGGCGGCCGGCCGCTCCGCCCCTACCTCAGCGTCCGCGGCGCCCGCCGCCCCGCCGGGAGATCTCACGCGGCGATGGATGTGAACCGCTCTGGATGTCGCCGCTCTGCCACGCCGGCGGCCGCGCGCCCCGCCGCCCCCACCGTGTGGGGCTGGCCGGCGGCGGCGCGCCGGCCGCCCTTTGGAACACCTGTATGTGATAGGCGGGCGCCGCCGCGGCGCGTTGTCCGGCCGGCCGACTCGGCGCCTGGCCGGCCCTTCTCTGCGCGCCGCTCGCGAGTACTCCGGCTAGAGGCGCTCTCGGTTCCCGGTCACCAGCCCAGAGTCTATTTTGTTAATTTGTGCATATGTGTTGTGTCTCTTTGAAGCAATCTTGTACAAGCCGACGCGAAATATTGGTTACAGTGTTTTAGCACCAATAAAGATAAAACTTGTCGGAAAACACTGTTTGCCAAGGCTGGCTCTTTTAAAAGACTGAATCGATTTGAGTGGAGAGCTTCATTCTGCGATGTGCTGACGCTAGAACTGATGAACGAAGTCTTGCGAAGCTCACGCTATTGTTTGCATGAAATGACAGTGTTATGAAACAGGCTGTAGGGACGGGACGGCAAGCGATGGACGGAATTAGAGTTTATTTCATAATGAATACAGCGCCTGGGCGAATACATAGACGGCGTCATGCTTCTGACAGCCGGATACCTATACTTACAGAACAGCAGTGACAGATACCTATGGAATGGATTACATTGCACTACATCACAGCGAGATGGTACGCGAATGAGTTGACCAGACAGCCCCATAACCCTTACACCGGGATCATCTTAGGTTAGTTGACGTAACTGCTTGGTTATTACGTAATTCAACAAGTGTTCGTGCATGCTTTGTGACGTTTAGTTCCTTGGGCAAGTCCGCCTAGCGCTCGAATGCTTCTTGGACACAAGTGAGTCATGAGGCTTAAATGACTTGTTCCCACAGCAGCATAGCATGCATGTACAATCGCTTAAGAAAAATCTTACAATTCACATCGAACGTAACGCCCAAGAAAAAACAGCCCGCTACACATACGAGTAGATACGGTAGGCATCAACGGAGTCCTAACAAAAAGCAGGCACCGCCCTTGTCAATCGCTGATCGTAAGTTGCCTGCGCTTTCTGACTAGCCCTCGATCCTGTCCACGTACTGCCCGAGAGTCAGACATTATCAATATGGAGAGCTAGACTGACCATACTAAGGTCTTCCCGAGACACACCCCGAACAGCAAGCCCCCTGTCTTGTATCCGACCCCTCCTAGCTATGGCACCTGGTCAAACCAATAACCATCCCTCAGAGGGCAGCACTCGTCACCACCTACTCGAAGGAGTTGTAGTAGCGCCACGTATCTTCCGGGCCCTCTATGGTGCCGTAGCCCCTGATGCCGCTGTCCGCGAGGAGGGCCGCGTTGCGCCGGTTGCTGCGGATCAAAGTCGCAACGATTGCCGCCAGCAGCACGAACCCGGCGCAGACAGCCAGCACGATCAGGATGGTCGACAGCGCCACCCCACCCGAGGTGTCGGCCGCGTCTGAAACGACACAGGGGGCGCTCGTGTGAAAAGGTACACCGATGGATGACGTGCATGCAGGGCTGCGGAGTCGGAGTCGGAGTCGGAGTCGGAGTCGGTCGGAGTCGACAGTTGTGACCGGAGTCGGAGTCGGAGTCGGAGTCGATTTTTGAAACCCGAGCCGGAGTCGGAGTCGGAGTCACCGAAAATCTGTCGACTCCGCAGCCCTGCTAGGTCTGCGGAGTCGGAGTCGGGAGTTGGAGTCGGTCGGAGTCGACAATTCTGCCCGGAGTCGGAGTCGGAGTCGGAGCTGGTTTTTGAAAGCCGGAGTCGGAGTCGGAGTCGGAGTCGCCGAAAATCCATCGACTCCGCAGCCCTGCGTGCATGTGTCAACGTCAGCCCCTATACTCGTGCTATGTGAAGAGAGTCAACTCGCCAGATAGCGGTCGAATGGCTAAGCTACTGGACAGTGGACATGCAACCGCAATTAGGCTGAATTTACCTGGCAGCCCTACTTCACTGATTCACAATACGCTACGCAGCAAGATTCAGTGGCAGCCAAACGATTCTTATACCGGAGACTAGCAAGACTTAGAGTTAGACGACACTCGATTTCCCATTACCCGTCCGGACCTCCCGGCTCCCGATTCCCCATCCGTGGTGCGACAAGTCAGCCGATGCTGCCTGGGCCAGCTCACCTGCGCTCTCTGCCAGCAGGCCGACCATCCTCTCCGGCGGCGAGGTCGAGATCAGCTGGGTGATGATGACGGTCGTGGTGCGCGCCGACATTGTCCGGTTCAGCTGGAACACCCCGGACACGTTGAATGCGATGTTGCACAGCTGGTTTCCGCTCAGTGCCGTGCCGTTGATGTAGATGGGGTGGCCGCCCCGGCGCCGAGCGGCGCGACGGCGACCCTTTGGCCACCGGGAGCGGCTCCTGCCCCGCCGCGATCGTCCCTGCAGCCAGCCGCGGCGGGCTCCCATCGGTCCATCCACGATGACGACGTTGTCTCCTCCGTCCTTGTCTTCACTCATCATATCGTCAACTTCGTTAACATCATCATCATCCTCGTCATCATACATCTCCAACGCATACTGGTCATCGACTTCAGCATCATGATCATCCGCGTCCGGTCCATCGATGTCGGTGATGCTGGGTCCCCTGATGACCAGATCCACGGTCTGCGGCGGCTCCTCCATGGCCAGCAGGTCGTCCTCCAGACGGGTGAGCGTCACCTCCACCGAGCGATCCGTCCTGTTGACCAGCACCTCGTACACGCCGCCGAAGCCGAACGTGGTGACACTGCTGTTGAAGATAGAGCCGTTCGAGGAGAAGACCTCCAGCGTGGCGACGTCAGGGATGACGATTTCGTTCGTCGGGTACACGGTGGATGTGTCCTCGTCGGCTGGAGGGGTGGTGGTCTCGAGGTCTGTGTCCGTTGTGGTCGTGGTGTCGTCGTCGTCTCCGGTAACCGTGGTGTCTTCTGGTGCTGCGGTGGTGGTAGGGGTTGTGGTAGTGGTTGTGGTTGTGGTTGTGGTTGTGGTTGTGGTTGTGGTGGTTGTTGTGGTGATGGTTGAGTTGGGAACGCATCCGCCACCGCCTAGCTGACGGATCAGGGCTCCAGGACCACCATTGCCATTGCCTCCCCTGCCACCGCCGCCCTTTTTGCCGCTTCCGTTGCCACCACCTCCCTTGCCTCCTTGGTCACCGCCTCCACCACCGCCCTGGCCGCCTCCGCCCTGGCCTCCGCCGCCCTGGCCTCCGCCGCCGCCGCCGCCGCCGCCGCCGCCATTGCCAGCTCCAGCAGCGCTCAGGCTCTCCAGAACCATGCCCGCGGGGCACCCCTGCCCTGGCGACGGGCACAGTGGGCCGTTGCGGTCCCGCGATCTCAGGGGCATGTGGATCCTGATGAGCTGGACGTCCTCGAGGTAAGGCTTGTCCTGGTCGGCCTCAGTGACAACCTCCTGAGCCGCCGCTGTCGGAAAACCGGGGGGGGGGGAGGGATGACTGAGCGACACTGGTACGTACAGACGGTCAACTTTCTGCGGTAGGTATATATATATACATATATATATATATATATATATATATATATATATATATATATATATATATATATATATATATATATATATATATATAGATTCTCTTTCTCCCTCTTCCTCTTTCAGTCTATCTCACCCTCTCCCTTTCCCTTTCTATCTCCCTATCTAACTCTCTCACTTCTCTCGCTCAGGAGCCCTTCCCATGGCTCCTTACATTTACTATCTTGCATGCGTTTAATGTTTCACTTGATAATTCATGTAGGATATGTAGGAAATTGCGTAAGTGGCCTCCGATCACCCTGATGGCGCAAATAAACAATGCAATGATGCATGGGTACGTACCTACAAAAGAAGTCATGCATTATCAATGAGCATATTATGTAAACTCTGCAAGTCATGGGTAAAACCGGTTCAGAGCTTTGGTGAATGACGTTATCAACCTATGCCATGGTCAAAGAATGCTCCCTGCCTAAGTTGCAGCTGACGTTGTTTGCGATGGAGCTTAGTGTATTTACAATCACGCTACCACGCGACCATTTCCAGCTTTACGTAACGACACGACAAAGGAACATCCAAACTGTCACTGTGTGCCTATTTTTGAACATAGGTATAGGATATAAGAAATGCAGCTGTATAGATAGCGGCAGAATGCAGCAATGGCACGACACACTTATACAACCAGTACCTACAGAGCTACTTAATTATTAGACGGTGGCGTACTTTTGCAGATTTATCATTACTTCTGCTTACCATGCGCATTGAACACGCATTTTTCGTAATTCCCAATATGACAGCCGTTCTCGTCCTACCCTCCTTGCCTCCCAGTCCGGGGGAATCTGTTCGCCGCGGTCGTCCTTTGTCCAGGCGCTGTGTGACGAAATGTCTAACCAAATCGTATATCAACATATCTACTGCCGATCGATTGTTTGCGATCGGAGGTAGTGGGGTGGGTGGGGGGAGGGGAGGGGAGGTCAGCGAAGGTTACTGCTGCACCGCTCGCGACGCCGCCGAGTCCCGTGTGGTTGCGGTCGCTGTCGCTATACAGAAGCAGGCATTACATAACCATCCTGTTCCGTGCATGTATGTGGGGCCGGCGATGTGACTTGAACACAGCCGCGAGGGACAGTAGCAGGCAGTGCAGGAATAGGAGTGCTCCTCACGACGCTTCAAGGTCCTCTCTGCAGAGCTAGATGACTCCGCAAGCTCTGCTGCAAGCACGGGGCTGGGCCATGGGTTGTTTCCTTGATGTGGCTAAAATAGCGCACGGCCACAGCGGTATGACTATATGGTGGCCTTGTAGGTCGGCTACCCCTGTCCATGCCTCCTATCCTATCCGTCTTATCGCCTGACGGCTAACGTCTCGGCCTTGGGTTTTGTCCGGGCATCTCAGCTACCATGGCTTCACAGGTAGGTAGACATGGAGCGAGGGATACCAATAGTTTTATATGAGCGCTAACAGCTCCGTGGCTGTATGAATTGGTCATGGGCTAAGGCAGCTGCATAGGTCTTTAATCGACTTTAGTGACCGTCGCCCAGCTGACGTAAATTCGTTGAAACAAAAGCAAAAGGTTGACGGGAAGACCGCATTCCGTAACCAATGGCCACCCATTGACGGGCATTCGCTGCATCCAAACTGTTGGTCATTGAAACCTTTATCTTGAGGCCGAACCACTAGCGCATAACGCATTCATATAAATGCAAACGACAAACACACCAAGGTTACAAATATTCATACCCTGATATGCTTTGTAAAATATTGGACACATTTTAACAAGCGGAACCCATTACCTAGTACTTTGACTTTGTTATACCTTCCTGACAGGAGGGGACAACAGTGAATAATGCCTACCTACATCAC